ACAGGGATGTATCCCAAGGGTGGGAGCTAATGTGTGGACAGGGATGTATCCCTAGGGTGGGAGCTAATGTGTGGACAGGGAGCTTGACTCCTTATCAACATCATTTGAATAGGTTTAACTTTTCAACGTTAACTATCTGGACAGGTTTGCATTGGATATTGGAGTAAAAAGCAAGCAATCGGTCGGCAATTTCAGAATACTACATTATTTATACTGTAGGCATCTTATTGAAAGAGGTATTATTGATTCCTTAAAAGTTAAACAGAATTAAACTTGCACATATCTCATAACCTTGCGGTGAATGTCTTGGTATTATTCACTTTAATGGACGCCTATGATTTCACAATTTTTAACACAATGCAATGCAGACAATGCTTGACAAGGACATATCCCGAGGGTGGGAGCTAATGCGTTGACAGAAATGGATCCCGAGGGTGGGAGCTAATCTGTGGACAGGGAGGTATCCCGAGGGTGGGAGCTAATGTGTGGACGGGGAGGTATCCCGAGGGTGGGAGCTAATGTGTGGACAGATATCTAACCAAATGTCGTGAGCTAATGTGTTGACAGGGATGGATCACCAGGGTGTGAGCAAACGTGTGGACACGAATGTATCCCAAGGGTGTGAGCTAATGTGTAGACAGGGATGTATCCCGAGGGTTTGAGCTAATGTGTGGACAGGAATGATCCCGAGGGTGTGAGCTAATGTGTGGACAGGAATGGACCACCAGGGTGCGAGCAAACGTGTGGACACGAATGTATCCCAAGGGTGTGAGCTAATGTGAAGACAGGGATGTATCCCGAGGGTGTGAGCTAATGTGTGGACAGGGATGGATCCCAGGTGTGGGAGCTAATGTGGGAACAGGGATGTATCCTAAGGGTGGGAGCTAATGTGTGGACAGGGAGCTTGACTCCTGATCACATACATCTTTAATCAAAACCTTGATCTGAACGTGCAATTTATAAATTTGACTTTTTTATATTCTTGTTATTATGCAATTAAAAAGACAAAACTAGAAGATTGACTAAGTTCCTTATTAAAAAAATAATAAATAAAAGAAAAGTAAATAAATTTCATAACAAATATAATTGGATCATAGAAATATGTCACTTTACAATAGCAATATGCATTCCGGGAGCAAGCGGGATGCCAATGATGATATAATATATAATTGATGATATCGTTTAAAATACCTTTGTTTTCACAGACGTTTTATTATGCCACATCATTTGTTTTTTGTTTGCTAAGCTTAAAGCTGACAGTTCTTTTTGTTTTCCCGATTGTGCACTTTAGAGAACCACGTCTTTGTTCGGTCTTTTTGAGCTGTTTGAGATCTGTATTGTTTCTTTATTGAATCGAAAGGTGTGATCGAAGGTGCACCCTACTGGGTTTAACAAACGTTAGCCGTTACTTAACAGGCTGTACTTTCTCGATGTAGCTGTAGTAATAGGGTTTGCCATACGTGTACGTTCCACAAATTACGGGGAGTAAACAGCTGTAAAGGAAACGTACAAAGCGAAAAATAGTGTACGACATGCTTTAACATCGAGAAGAGAAACATGATTAATCTACATCAGAGAAAAGCATCGTTCCGTGCAAGCCATTGCCGTCAGAGTACCATGTGACTGCAAACCTCGTGCAAGTTCTCACGAATACAGAGTAGGCTAGGCAGCGTTGATGGGATAGCAGGACACATATGCAACCTTATTGAACTGAGTTGCACGTTTCCTTATCTTTTTAAAAAAGAAAAAAAAAGATCTAGACTAAAATTCCTTTAGGAAAATTGTTGTACGTGGTATCTTGGTGTCTCTCGTTTTTGACAAAGTGTGTTTAGCTTTCGGATATAGTAGTCCTTTTTAAAGGCACCTGCCAACAAAAAAACCCAGTTTGATATTTCATATACTTAATACAATATCACACGATCTTTGTCGATGAGATCATGTTGGTGACCATACAAGTTTCCCATAGTCTTCGTGCACCTGCATTTCTCGAAATCGTGTTTGTATCTTTGTCCGTCAGAGCATCCTCGACACGCCAGGGGTTTCGCTCACTTACGCTCTCTGCTCCCCTGGAATATGTCATAGCAAAATTGAATGCACACAGATAGCTGTTTGATCGGTCTAAGGTAGAAAAACCTGACCAATCGCTAGGCTGATACCTATCCTTTGAAGATTACAAAGGCGTGACACCCGACTTCAAGCCCTGTCAATTTTTACTGTTATGTTACCGCGAGATTAAATTTCATCAAAGGATCGAACTAGCTTTCTTTTCTCATCAACAAGGTGGCGCACACTGAGCCTTCAAACTTACCATAACATGTTCCAGGGGTGCAGAGAGCGAAAGTGAGCGTAACCCCTGGATATCGAGGATGCCGTCAGAGTTGACATTTATCAAGGGATTTATGATAGACCTGCCACCGAAGTCGGCAAAACATTTGCCAATAAGGAACTCAAATATTCTACCGATTGGAGCGTCGGTGTCTTTCGTCTTTGATTTTGTCATGTTTTTGTTCACAAAATAAGTATTGTGATACATAATTGTTTGCCTCCATGTATTTAAAGCGACTCTTTAGGAAATAAACGTTCACACATTAAGAGTAAAATTGAGTACCTGTCGTTTGGTACGATTTGTAGAAGTTTTAAGAGTGGAAAAGTAAAATGTTCTGACAGAGGAATCAATTTTGAGGAGACGATGCCCACGATTGTACATCCATATTCCATTAATTCCATTTCTGGAGTATACCATGCCCAAATACGACTGTGACCTTGATTAATGGCGCCTAGATTGGTCGTTAGAATTCTGGATAATTGCTAGCTTTAAGCAACTAGCAAAGCCAGCGATAAAAGAATGTTTTCGAATTTTAATAACCTAATGCAATCGCGGCGGGTCTCTGTTCTTATGGTTGGTGTTCCGAACGATTTCAATACAAAAGTATGATATGTTAGTATTTTGTCTTTCGATGAAATAGGGAATAAGTGCAGGTAAGATTTAGCTGAATCAAGTTATTAAATACAAAATACAATACCCAAACATTTATTTATGGTTTACAATCGCACAAGACGTTAATATGAATAGAAATATTGTGGAGACGGTTCGGATTTACATTAGAAACACAAAACGTTCTTATCAGATTCTCAAGTATTGTCAAATAATCTCTCTTACAACAATGCAATAACCGAAATATGTATTGTCCTATCAAAATCAAAATACAAATAATTTCTTATTTTAATTCTAAAGAAACATTTAAAAGAACCGTTTATATGATGTGTATATACTGTTATATTTTTGTAAGGAGAGGGCTTATAGGTGTAGATTATGCATGTTGCCCAATTCATTTTGTACATGATTAAGATCAGTACAATAAAACATTATGAAATGATATGAAAATTCTTGGTATGCCGACACAACTAAATAATGTATAACGTTGAGTATCTTTTAGACATTGTGGTCAAGAAAATAAACCTTTGGTTAAATTCTTAATTTGGATTTCAAGCTTCTGATAAGCTTTTAAATGCTTGACCTGTTGGGTTTCATCCACTTTGAATGTAAAAACTAATTCAGAATGTTCTCGTTTTACCCATTGTCTGGTGTTATCTAGTCACAGAATACGTCACTATGCTGATATTGACATCCCAATTAGCAATAGGGCCCGTATTCATGAAACCGTTCTCGTGCTCAAACCAGCTGTCTTGTAACTCGCTTAAACCATACCAAACAATCAAAAAGTCACTCAGAGCTACATGTAACTGTATATGTCTTAAGAGCTCGATAAATTCATAAGTTGGATAAAGTTATGAATTTATTTAACTCTGTGTGGAATGAAATTCTGAGCTACCGCGGTTTCTTATCATTGAGTGATTTTGGGCGTCACCAAACCTATTAAAGGGCGATGGTACAAGTAGAGTTCAGAAAGCTTTGGCTTAAACATACTCTTTTAAAAAAAAGTTAATTTTGTTACTGTTTTTTTTTTTATCTGTCATCATTGATTACATGTGTTTGAAATATATATGTATGTATACGTTCTATCCCTTCTTGGTCCTGATGACATTTATATAGATAGCAAAGAAAACAAATATGTTGATAATCCTTATATTATCATTCATTTTCACATCAAGCATACTTGATTGTTAATTTATTTTACATTTATCATATGACACAAATGTGGATAAATTAAAACAAAGAGTATGCCTTCATCAGGGCCGGCGAAAATGGCACGTAGAAATATACAGTACATTGAATTCCTGAACTCCATTTCAAGTGTACAATAATTGTGTACATCCAAAGTGTATTCTATTGTAGTACATGTCCTCTGTAGCAGCCATATCCTACTCTTGCCTTTAAATTAAGCGCCTCTGTAGTGGCCGTATCCTACTCTTGTCTATAAATTTAGCGCCTCTGTAGTGGCCGTAGCCTACTCTTGCCTTTAGATTAAGCGCCTCTGTAGTGGCCGTAGCCTACTCTTGTCTATAAATTAAGCGCCTCGGTAGTGGCCGTAGCCTACTCTTGCCTTTAAATTAAGCGCCTCTGTAGCAGCCATATCCTACTCTTGCCTTTAAATTAAGCGCCTCTGTAGCAGCCATATCCTACTCTTGCCTTTAAATTAAGCGCCTCTGTAGTCGCCGTAGCCTACTCTTGTCTATAAATTAAGCGCCTCTGTAGTGGCCGTAGCCTACTCTTGCCTTTAAATTAAGCGCCTCTGTAGTGGCCGTAGCCTACTCTTGTCTATAAATTAAGCGCCTCTGTAGTGGCTGTAGCCTACTCTTGCCTTTAAATTAAGCGCCTCTGTAGCAGCCATATCCTACTCTTGCCTTTAAATTAAGCGCCTCTGTAGTGGCCATAGTCTACTATTGCCTTTAAATTGAGCGCCTCTGTAGTGGCCGTATCCTACTCTTGTCTATAAATTTAGCGCCTCTGTACTGGCCGTAGCCTACTCATGTCTATAAATTAAGCGCCTCTGTAGTGGCCGTAGCCTACCCTTGTCTATAAATTAAGCGCATCTGTAGTGGCGGTAGCCTACTCTTGTCTATAAATTAAGCGCCTCTGTAGTGGTCGTAGCCTACTCTTGTCTATAAATTTAGCGCCTCTGTAGTGGCCGTAGCTTACTCTTGTCTATAAATTAAGCGCCTCTGTAGTGGCCTTAGCCTACTTTTGTTTATAAAATAAGCGCCTATGTAGTGGCCGTACTACTCTTGCCTTTGAGTAAACCATCCTCTGTAGCTACTATTTCAAATGTACTCTAATTAGTTATTGTGACTTTTAAGTTATCGATTCGTCTTAAACAAGCTGGGGTCGTTCACATATGTAATCCCTAGTTACATTACAGTGGCAATCACTTAGATGCCTCGAGTTGGAGTTCAAAGCGCCACAATCAGCTTCGTTTGGATCTAAATTGTACCTCTGACATTTGTTGTTGAAATTCACAGACGGCCATATTGTTTCGTTGAAGCCTTTGTCGTCAATATATGTCCACTCACCCTCAAACTTCCGGTCAGTAAGACCAATCCAGTGATACCTTATACCTGAGATTTCTGAAATTTTAAAGAAGTGAAAAAGGACATTTTATAACCAAACTGACGTATTATGTTGGTTAAATAATAATAATAATATACAGCATTTGATATAGCGCCCTCCCTAGCTAACACAAGCCACTCTAAAGCGCTTTACAGTACATAGATATACAATTAATACAATTAGCATATACATTAATCAATACAATTTGAGGAATTCGCAGGAGCTGCCTTATCAGGCGCTAACTACTAGTAATATGCTACCTGGCTAATATATCCCTATGTGTGTATGCCTGCGTGTGTGCTGTAGATGTAATGTGCTCAGTTTGTAGTGGGACCTTGTTTCCAACGGCATCATTTATAGTGATACCTCACTTGAATGCTACAGCACAGATAGTGCAACATCCACCCCAGACCAATTTATACTCCACCAGGAGAAAAATACTTTCTCTGATTATCCATGCGTACGACGACTTCGGGAATCGAACCCCGGCCGCCTCCGCCTTGTGTTTTGCAAAAAGTAAAACCTTTGTTTATTCATATAACTAAAGTAGTAAATTTAATCACAAAGCTAAAGTATCATATTGTTTTATGATATAGCTTAAGTGTATACTATTGTTTTATGATATAGCTTAAGTGTATACTATTGTTTTATGGCATAGCTCAAGTCTATACTATTTTTTCATGACATAGCTTGGGTATATCTGGTTGTTTATCCTATTGTTTTAAACCATAGTCTACTCTATTGTTTTATGACATAGCTAAGTTATATCCTATTGTTTATCCTATTATTTCATGACATAGCTTGAGTATATCTGGTTGTTTATCCTATTGATTTAAAGCATGGCTAAAGTCTACACTAATGTTTAATCACATACCTAAGTCGTGTTGTTATCTGGTTTCCGCTTCATACTCTATAATAGACATTGAATTTAGGGTTTGTTTTCTTATCTTTTCCTTTGTTTCATGATTCGGTGATCAACTTTTGTTCTGTAGTGTAACTTACCCGTTACATTAAGTATGTACTCAATTTGTTTAGAAGTCTGCAAGACAATAAGTCTCCCTCCGTCATTCTGACAAGCGGTAAAAGCATCACCCCATGTGCGACTTTCTCGAAACAATTTGAAACACAGGTGTCCGTCCCTGAACAGGATGTAACCACTACGTACACAACCTGTTATGCATAAAAAAAAATCACAGGATGACAAAATAGCATGTCGATCACAAACTAATAATACTCTATTCCACACAGATATCGATATCATATTCGCGATACACACAGATTATTATACTGTACAAGAAAAGTCAAAAACAAGGCGAAAAAGAAAACATGTACTAAATGCGTTATAATAAATGCTGAATATTCAGTAAAAATCTATAGAAAATAATTGACCAACAGAACCACACTGCGTGTTCGCATTAAGAGACTTATATATGACTTCCTTCCTTAGAGAAAGTCTAAAAACAAATTGTCACAAATGTTTACCCTCACAATATAGCAATCGGTTTAATGAAATGTCTACCATTGTGACTTCAACAGATAATAACAAGGCCTACCTTCTATGTCTTTGTATACAGAGCGTTGACCATGAGGGAACACCTCGTTACCACTGAACGGTTGGAATCCATTGAAAACGTGACATAGGTTGGTTTCGCCATCATATTCAAATACGTAACAAATCTCATACACTCCACAAAGCGTGGCACATTGTACAAGTGTTGCAACACGTCGCGTCAGAGAAATGTCTGACGTCATCTCAAATGCGTAAGTAACGACATCATTTGTCCACAGTCTAGCTTTTACCTCGGCACAGAACACAGCTAGAAAGAATGAAAATTTGTCAACAAGTGAAAAGTAAACATGTTTATAGTTTTATAGTAGCGGAATACGGTCGTGATTGATAGAGGTACGTTTTAAGATAGGGGTTTATATAATGTACTGTATAGAAATACAAAAACTTAGGTTGACATTTGTGTGACAGGAAAATAAGAAGACAATTTAAAAATCATAAGAAGACTTATTATTGAGGCTGTTAAAAAGCTCTTCATGAGAAGATTGTATTTTGAAGGCATCGTAATAATAAGGCGATCGTACATTATCATGTAACAAAACAACCCTTGTGACGCCTCTAACAATAAACAATCGGAAGTTTTCTGCAGTTTCCGCCCATAATATGATATACAACATTTGATATAGCGCCCTATCTAGCTAACATAAGCCACCCTAAAGCGTTTTAGATAGATATACAATTAATACAATTAGCATACATTAATCAATACAATTTTATACATTTTTTGAGGAATTCGCATAAACTGCCTTATCAGGCGCTAACTGCTAGTCATATGTCACCTCACTAATATATCCCTATGTGTGTATGCCTGCGTGTGTGCTGGAGATGTATTGTGTTCTGTTTATAGTGGGACCGTGCTTCCAACGGCATCTTTTATAGTGCCACCTCACTTGAATGCTATATCACAAATACCGCAACATCTACCCCAGACCATTATATACTCCATCTGGGTTGTTGGAGTTGTGTGGGCAGGAGAAAAAAAATCTGATTATCCATGCGTACGACGACTTGGAGGATCGTACCCCGGCCGCCTGCGTGGAAGGCCGACGTGTTGACCACTCCGCCAATCCACCTATGTCTTACACACATACATATTTGTACAGGGAGTATCCTCAAGCATAATCAAATATAGAGTTCAAACTTGTGAAGATTTTTCATAAAGTTTAGATGTGCAGACACTGAAAAATATTCAACAAGGCAATTTGTCAGTTGATCATCAATAATCTCTTAATCTGAGGACATGAAAGCTTGGTTTAGTTTCACATTGTTTAACGTCCTATTAACAGCTAGGGTCATTTAAGGATGTGTCTCTATGTGTGTTACATGTAAGCGTGCATGTGTGTATGCCGGAGACAGGTTATGTTGGTGTACTTGCCACCTTGTGATAGCGCGGATCTTGCTATCTCACTAAAATAAAAATAAATAATAAATAAATAAATAAACAACATTTAATATAGCGCCCTATCTAGCTAACATAAGCCACTCTAAAGCGCTTTACAGTACATAGATATACAATTTTATACAGTCACATCTCTTATGTTAACTACTCGTAACATAGATAATAAGGTTAGTACATCTCTTATGTTAACTACACGTAACATAGACAAAACGGTTAGCACATCTCTTATGTTAACTACTCGTAACATAGATAATAAGGTTAGTACATCTCTTATTTTAACTACACGTAACATAGACAATAAGGTTAGCACATATCTTATGTTAACTACACGTAACATAGACAAAACGGTTAGCACATCTCTTATGTTAACTACTCGTAACATAGACAATAACGTTAGCACATCTCTTATGTTAACTACACGTAACATAGACAATAAGGATAGCACATCTCTTGTGTTAACTACTCGTAACATAGACAAAAAGGTTAGCACATCTCGTATGTTAACTACACGTAACATAGACAAAAAGGTTAGCACATCTCTTATGTTAACTACACGTAACATAGACAATAAGGATAGCACATCTCTTGTGTTAACTACTCGTAACATAGACAAAAAGGTTAGCACATCTCTTATGTTAACTACACGTAACATAGACAAAAAGGTTAGCACATCTCTTATGTTAACTACACGTAACATAGACAAAACGGTTAGCACATCTCTTATGTTAACTACTCGTAACATAGACAAAAAGGTTAGCACATCTCTTATGTTAACTACACGTAACATAGACAAAAAGGTTAGCACATCTCTTATGTTAACTACTCGTAACATAAACAAAAGGGTTAGCGCATCTCTTATGTTAACTACACGTAACATAGACAAAAAGGTTAGTACATCTCTTGGGTTAACTACTCGTAACATAGACAAAAAGGTTAGAACATCTCTTATGTTAACTACACGTAACATAGACAAAAAAGTTAACACATCTCTTATGTTAACTAAACGTAACATAGCCAATAAGGTTAGCACATCTCTTATGTTAACTAAACGTAACATAGGCAATAAGGTTAGCACATCTCTTATGTTAACTAAACGTAACATAGACAAAAAGGTTAGCACATCTCTTATGTTAACTACATGTAACATAGACAAAAAGGTTAGCACATCTCTTGTGTTAACTACACGTAACATAGACAATAAGGATAGCACATCTCTTATGTTAACTACTCGTAACATAGGCAAAAAGGTTAGCACATCTCTTATGTTAACTACACGTAACAGAACTACACGTAACATAGACAAAAAGGTTAGCACATCTCGTATGTTAACTGTTAACTACACGTAACATAGACAAAAAGGTTAACACATCTCTTATGTTAACTAAACGTAACATAGACAAAAAGGATAGCACATCTCTTATGTTAACTACTCGTAACATAGGCAAAAAGGTTAGCACATCTCTTATGTTAACTACTCGTAACATAAACAAAAGGGGTAGCGCATCTCTTATGTTAACTACACGTAACATAGACAAAAAGTTTAGCACATCTTTAATGTTAACTACACGTAACATAGACAAAAAGGTTAACACATCTCTTATGTTAACTACTCGTAACATAGATAATAAGGTTAGTACATCTCTTATGTTAACTACACGTAACATAGACAAAAAGGCTAGCACATCTCTTATGTTAACTACTCGTAACATAGACAAAAGGGTTAGCGCATCTCTTATGTTAACTACACGTAACATAGACAATAAGGTTAGCACATCTCTTATTTAACTACACGTAACATAGACAATAAGGATAGCACATCTCTTATGTTAACTACTCGTAACATAAACAAAAGGGGTAGCGCATCTCTTATGTTAACTACACGTAACATAGACAAAATGGTTAGCACATCTCTTATGTTAACTACTCGTAACATAGGCAAAAAGGTTAGCACATCTCTTATGTTAACTACTCGTAACATAGATAATAAGGTTAGTACATCTCTTATGTTAACTACACGTAACATAGACAAAATGGTTAGCACATCTCTTATGTTAACTACTCGTAACATAGACAATAAGGTAAGCACATCTCTTATGTTAACTACTCGTAACATAAACAAAAGGGTTAGCGCATCTCTTATGTTAACTACACGTAACATAGACAAAATGGTTAGCACATCTCTTATGTTAACTACTCGTAACATAAACAAAAGGGGTAGCGCATCTCTTATGTTAACTACACGTAACATAGACAAAAAGTTTAGCACATCTTTAATGTTAACTACACGTAACATAGACAAAAAGGTTAACACATCTCTTATGTTAACTAAACGTAACATAGACAATAAGGTTAGAACATCTCTTATGTTAACTAAACGTAACATAGACAATAAGGTTAACACATCTCTTATGTTAACTACTCGTAACATAGACAGTAAGGTTAGCACATCTCTTATGTTAACTACACGTAACATAGACAAAATGGTTAGCACATCTCTTATGTTAACTACTCGTAACATAAACAAAAGGGTTAGCGCATCTCTTATGTTAACTACACGTAACATAGACAAAAAGTTTAGCACATCTTTAATGTTAACTACACGTAACATAGACAAAAAGGTTAACACATCTCTTATGTTAACTAAACGAAACATAGACAATAAGGTTAGCACATCTCTTATGTTTACTACTCGTAACATAGACAATAAGGTTAGCACATCTCTAATGTTAACTACTCGTAACATAGACAATAAGGTTAATACATCTCTTATGTTAACTACTCGTAACATAGACAATAAGGTAAGCACATCTCTTATGTTAACTACTCGTAACATAGATAATAAGGTTAGTACATCTCTTATGTTAACTACACGTAACATAGACAAAATGGTTAGCACATCTCTTATGTTAACTACTCGTAACATAAACAAAAGGGTTAGCGCATCTCTTATGTTAACTACACGTAACATAGACAAAAAAGTTAACACATCTCTTATGTTAACTAAACGTAACATAGACAAAAAGGTTAGCACATCTCTTATGTTAACTACATGTAACAAACTAAACGTAACATAGACAAAAAGGATAGCACATCTCTTATGTTAACTACTCGTAACATAGGCAAAAAGGTTAGCACATCTCTTATGTTAACTACACGTAACAGAACTACACGTAACATAGACAAAAAGGTTAGCACATCTCGTATGTTAACTGTTAACTACACGTAACATAGACAAAAAGGTTAGTACATCTCTTATGTTAACTACACGTAACATAGACAAAAAGGTTAGCACACCTCTTATGTTAACTAAACGTAACATAGACAAAAAGGTTAGCACATCTCTTATGTTAACTACACGTAACATAGAGAAAAGGGTTAGCACATCTCTTATGTTAACTACATGTAACATAGACAAAAAGGTTAGCACATCTCTTATGTTTACTACATGTAACATAGACAAAACGGTTAGCACATCTCTTATGTTAACTACATGTAACATAGACAAAACGGTTAGCACATCTCTTATGTTAACTACACGTAACAGAGAGAAAAGGGTTAGCACATCACTTATGTTAACTACCCGTAACATAGACAATAAGGTTAGCACATCTCTTATGTTAACTACACGTAACATAGACAAAAAGGTTAGCATATCTCTTATGTTATCTAAATGTTACATGGACAAAAAGGTAAGCACATTTTTTTTGTTAACTACACGTAACATAGACAAAAAGGTTAGCACATCTCTTATGTTAACAACAAGTAACATAGACAAAAAAGTAAGCACATTTCTACATTAAACCTTCGAACCACAAATGGAAGCAAGAACTATTGCACGCGAACGTTTTCGTAA